ATACTCTGATGACGGAGGCAGTATGACCCCTGAAACGTTGGTTAACATCGACCAGACTACACAGCGCAACAACCCAGAAGACAGAAATCTTCATACTCTGATGACGGAGGCAGTATGACCTCTGAAACGTTGGTTAACATCTACCAGACTACACAGCGCAACAACCCAGAAGACAGAAATCTTCATACTCTGATGACGGAGGCAGTATGACCTCTGAAACGTTGGTTAACATCTACCAGACTACACAGCGCAACAACCCAGAAGACAGAAATCTTCATACTCTGATGACGGAGGCAGTATGACCTCTGAAACGTTGATAATCATCGACCAGACTACACAGCGCATCAACCCAGAAGACAGAAATCTTCATAATCACAGCTGTGAAAACCTCAAATCTTACAAAAAGTATCCTATCTTACAGCTCTTGGTAACTGTCTACCTAATAAAACAAAGATTTACCCCGATGGTTAGCAATTTGCCAAGTTTAAATTTTCTACAAAAGTTACAGTACAAGAAAAATCAAAGTGACAGGATGTAACTCTGAACAATAAAGACTGGAATGAGGGCTGCAGACAACTAATAATAGTAATTTTATGATTATATACTACATATAACCAAATTCCCAGACACAACTTAGACCCTCTAACAAAACTGAAGCTGTTGTGTTGTACATCACAACTTCCTGTGAAATACAACATTAGTCAAGACATACTGAAACATAGAGGATGAGTCCTGTTGTCCATTTATCATCAGGTTCACAGTCCATCTACAGAAATGTTACTTATGATATCCAGAACAAGTTAAAGAGTACATCCCATACTTTAAACCAGTGGTATTCAACCTGGGATACGCGAAAACATCTTAGGGGGTACGTGAAATTTAAAGAATATATATATTATTTTATTATAAACACTAAATAATCAGTAATGTAATTTATTTTAGATGTAGATTATATATTATGTATAACTTGAATTATACATCAACAACTTTGGGGGTACAAAGTTGGAAAAGAAATTATATCTGGGGGTACACGAACAAATAATGGTTGAATACCACTGATTTAAACAAACCTCTTCAAAATTTCATGAGACACAAAGTAATCTTAAAACCTTGCATATCGCGTAGAATAAAATCGGTATACAAAATCACAGATACAGACAAGCTTTAAAACACAACCATATCGTGCCAGACATGATTCAACTCCATGAGGTCATCAAGTGTGGTGGTCATGACCAAAACACATATCACAATTTTACTCTGCTACAGTTGGTTAGAAGGTAAACTTCCCACAAACTTAACCTAAACATACACATAACAGAAACACAATTCTGTTGAACACTGTCCATTGTTTGAGACATAACTGATACGCACAAAGTTTCTAGAGTCCACGCCACTCTCGATTTCCAGGTGACTGGTCATAATTAATGACAGATCCTTCGAATGCCTTTATTTATGAGTTCACTAACAATAACTAAGACTGAACCCATAACCTTTCTAAGCTTGAGTTATTTCTTACTCTTATTTTTACTATTTACTTACTGCTTTTATATTATCTTGCATCTATTTATTGTATTTAGAATGCTATTGTGTACCCAATGAAAGCTGTTGTCAAAATATATCTAAATAACCAAACTTAATTGACTAGGAATGCTACACTGCAAAATGTCAATTTGGCAACACCTCTCCACCTCAAAGAGCAAAAAGCAGTGTGGCCAACCTGTATCTCCTGTCAGGATATTCTGTATCATAGTACTCGTACCGCTGCCCCGCCCGCTGCACACGTGCGGCCGTCCTACCCTGGACCACGGTGGTTCCGACAGCAGCTGCCACTGGTGTGCTGGTACTGCAATTTGCGGTGCGACTGTACGACGCAGCTCTTGGACGCTGCTGTGTATCATACCTTGCAAACCGAGCACCTGGCACTACAACAGTTGTCTCAAACCTCCCTGCCTGAACCTCCCGGCTACCATAAACAAAATAAAAACAAAAGTTTATGTGTTTGTTCTATAAATATAATACTTATTCATCTTTCATATGCATCCTTCTTTATCAACATTTATCTTTGACGACGATTCATGTTGTATGTAATGAATGCCTACCTCTGCAATGCTAACTGTATTTACCCAAGTACTTATAAAGTTGGTCCATCAGGTTGAATGCAAAAACTCAAAGCATGGCAGCAAAATTCAGTTTTTATGATTATTACCTATTCCTCTAAAGCCCATTATTAGAATATTATCCTATTTACGCCATGTCTGCTGTGTCCTTCCGATGTCATCCTTTTTACATCTCAACAGTACTAGATGATGAAGAATATAAATTGTGAAGCATCTCATTACTAATCTTCATTCTTCTCTTACATTTCTCTTTGGTTCAAATGAAGAGTTGATATTCAATGTACTGGGTGCAGCAGAGAAAACACATTTTTTTTCGAATGGCTAGCAAGGAGGAGGATGGGGGATTTCCGCCCCTTGCTAGTAGACAGCTTAGATGATGCAGTTTCAGTAGCCATGGCACCGTGGACCCGCGAGCATCGGGTGTTTGTTGTTGAAAATTATATCAAAAGTGGTGAATCCGTAATTGCCGTTCATCTCCCATTTCGGTGATATCCCTTGGCCACCTCGCTCCCCTGACCTGTCCGTATGTGACTATTTTTTGTGGGGTTACCTCAAATCAAAGGTCTACAGAAACAAACCACGCAACATCCAGGAACTCAAAGATTCCATTCGCCAGGAAATCGCTACTGTGGAGGAAGAAATGTTGGGAAGATCAATGCAGAATTTCGAGGAGAGGCTGCAAGAGTGCGTACAGAAGGAAGGGCGTCACTTGACGGACGTTATTTTTCGGAAGTAATTCAAAAATGTTCAACAAAAACTGCATTGTAAAACCTTTCTTTTTGTGTAATTAAATTTTTTTTAACTCGAATAACTTGAGTTATTGTTATTTGGAAAACATGCGTTTCCTCCGCCGCACCCGGTATAAATGCTATATGTAGGTCTATGTAGAAAATGAATACCAGTTTACATTTTTATAATTGTACACACCAACTAAATATACCTGCACATATATATTTGTGTCTCTCAGATCCATTCAGACAACACAAAAGAAACATTCCGAAGTTGTTGACCTTTGACGGCAATTAATGGCATAACACAAATTACTTACTTGCTATCACAGCGCTCCCATGGCCGTTCACCACTGACAGCCTCACCCTGTTTCTCTAAGTGTTCATAAAATTCTTCCTGGCACTCCCGAGAAGCAAAGTCTACTTGCAGCTTGCGGCCACGTAGCAGCACGCCCCTCATTTCACGCACTGCATCTTGGGCATAAGGGACCTGCAGAGAAAAATAATATTTCTGTAATCACAAAAAGGAAAACATGAACATAGTTTCACTCCTAATATGCAGCAGGAAGCATACTGATATTCAAAATACATACAAGAAAATTCACTTAATACATATTGTGACGTGTTGCGGTGAGAGCAGCATAACAATGTCAATAAACAGTTTAGTTGTCTGTTTATTGACATTGTCGCGTCTGGCATTGTTGTGTCTATTTATAGACATTGTTGCTTTTGGAATTGTTGTATTAGTTTATAATTGTTGTGTCTGTTTAATGACACTGTTGAAGAGTGTTTGGAGAGAGAGAATGTTGAAGAGTGTTTGGAAAGGGAGAGTGTTGAGAGTAGAGTTGTTGGAAAGGGAGTGTGGAAAGAACAGAGCTGTGAATCGGGCGTAAGAGAAGTGTGCCGTGAGAGACGAGAGAATGGAGCCAACTAGAGGTCTGGTGTGGCGCTGAGAAAGGACGGGTCGGCTACGTGTGAGGCACCGGGTACGTGGACCGTGGCGGCCGAGGAGCCAGCGTGTGTCCAGTGGGGTGCTACGGGCCAATGTGTAAGTGAAGAGTGTGAAGGGCGCCGAACTCGAGGGACCAGATAGACTCGGAGGACAAGAGTGTGTGTGTGTGCAGAGAACAGGGACACGAAGTGTATTGTTGTTGTGGTATAGAGTTGACTGTATAAGTGACCTAGCTGCAAATGGACACTTAATTCACTCCTCGTTATTCAATTCAGTCTCCTCTAGCAGAGGTTTTCAAACAGTAGTACAGTACAACAAATCCTCTCCAGTGGCACATATAAGATTTTTTGTCTGCATTAAATATGTCCAGATTCATACTTGTACTCACGAAGAAAAACTCAAACAAGATATGACAATAAACCTAGCAACTTTAACGAACTGGTAAAGGAATATCTACTTTTTGTAGTTATGTGATGAAATACATTCAATAAGCATATACAGATTTTACAAATTTTGATAATGGTCACTTGGCTACGAACAGTTTACCGAACTGCTGTCTGAGAGAGATGAACAGAAGAAAGTGTAGGAGATGAATTCAAATAAAAATAGAAACAAAATACATGATAAACCCTTGATAAATCTTAATACGTAATGTAACAAATAGATCAACTAATTTACAGAATATATATATATATATATATATATATATATACACACAAACATAAATCTATGAAAATGAAGAATGCGGTAAGATATTTTTGTTGTTACGGTGGTATAAAGAAGAGACAGAAAAAATGGCATTCATATTACATAGAATGTATGTCCTGATTTACTTACATTATCAGAATTAAAGGTTTTACCGATTATTACCTAACCTACACCTACCATCACACGCTTCATTTCTAGGATGTGAATCAGCAAAATTCACGATAAAGACCTAATTTTTCAAATGTTCTGTTAGTTAATGGTGCAGTTTACATGACAGAACATTCTAAATATGTATACCACAAAGCTCTTTGTGTCCATAAATTTCTACCTGCTCAAAATAGATGAGAGCGTGCCCCCGTTCACGATCGACAGTGACGTGAGTGACGCTGCCGAACTGGCTAAACTGCAGATTCAGGTACTTCTCTGACACTGTGTCTGTAAAGAACAAAACATAGGTAACTGAAACACACACATGCATTTAATAAAGCAATTCATAGAAGGTAAAGCTACCCCCGGTGCTTAACTAAGCACCCTGCAAACAATAAAGTAATCTCTACACCTCCAGAAAATTTAACATGGTACATTATATATTTCGTTTCTGCGCTGAGTTGCCATTCCAAAAATTGTTTCTATCTGTAAGTAAACAACTGAGTGCTTAAAGAACATTTGTATACACATTTCTTAAATAAAAAGCTTTTATTCTTCCACTAAAATGTTCTTTATTTAAAGTATTACTCCAGCGCACATTACAAGACAAAGTTGTCACTGTGTATAATACCACACCATGACAACAGATAGAGCATAATTTCGTAAAGCTAGTCATGACAGACCTCAGAAAGAAATGAAGACTTACAAGATCACAAAACATAATCCAATTCTCAATTCAGCTTTCTAACAGCTGTGTATATCATTTTTCATATCTTCTCGCAGGTTAGTATTCTGAGAAAGGTTCTGGGCGAAAATAAAAAAAAAATAATTAAATCATAACTACCGTATAACAACTCAGACAAATTTATCTCTCACGAAGGGCGAGTAATTTGCCTCAAAGAATTATTCACTGATGTGGTTTACGGTGGCCAGGAAGCAAAAGACATGGAAACTTAAGTGCCAGTTCAGAAGACTACTACTACTGAAATAGCTATGCTCGATATGAGCATCTCAAAGAATGCCATGAATCAAAGACATATCATGGTCCGTAAGATTTGAGGTTTTCGCAGTGGTGAGTATGAAGATTTCTGTCTTCTGGGTTGTTGCGCTGTGTAGTCTGGTCGATGTTTACCAATGTTTCAGAGGTCATACTGCCTCCGTCATCAGGGCGATAAATCACCCATCGACCAGACTACACAGCGCAACATCCCAGAAGACAGAAATCTTCTTACCTATCATTCAGCCCACAATCAATCACAATATTAGACAAAGGTTTAAAAACTAGGGAACTTCCAATAAATAAAAAACAAAATAAAATTTGAAGCTTTCACGGCTGCGGGCTGCAGCGATCAAGTGCGTGAGTATGGAACTGCTTTCCAACATGTCAGAAGAGATAACCTCTACCTCTGTCATCAGCGAGTGACATCGCTGATGACAGAGGCAGAGAAATCTCTGAAACAACAGAAATTAATCCACACTCACGCATTAATCGTCTGATACGACTTCACTGTGATAAGTACTATTCTTAATACCTGCAATGCCATCCACCCAAACACAATTAGTAGCCATGGACTTCCCAAAGCCGAGTTTGATGCGATTGTTGCCAAGATGTTCCCCGTCCATCGTCCGCATAGCTTTCACTACACTCGCTATGTCTGAATACTGGCAGAAGGCATACGACGACACAACGCCCTGTTTCTTGATGTCAATCTCCTGTAAAATTACAATAACAACACAAGTGCCTAATAGGTCTCCTGGCTGTGAACTATGACTATACAGAGGCAATGCAAACTAAAACCGTAGCAACGTTAAAGAATTAATTCTAAACCTTCTCCATGTTACACCCAAGACAACTACCTTAAAAACACGTCTTCCTGGCCTGGATATGATTGAAGAAAATTGTCCTGTTGTCTATCAATTGTCAATTAAAAGTTTATGAAATCAAATAAAATGCTACCATAGAAATATTCAAATAGAAAGGGGTTTCGTTAAAACAACGTATAGCACTAAAGAATAAGAAAACAAGGCGATAAACTTAATGCGGAAGTAAATCAGACTTCAGAAACTGGACTGCTTACTTGACTCAATACCCGTTTTCACATTTTCAATTCCATAATCCTGACGAGAATACTGATTTATAGACCCTTGATACAAAATCGAATTAGTTTAAATTTAATTGTAAGTCTTGTTACGATCTTAAAGAAACTGTCATTGCTGGGTTGTACGTGTGGTCTATTTGGTTATGACACGAGCCTGGTATTAAAAAGATCTTGGGTTTGATCTAAACCACTATAACTAATCTCCAACTAGAAAATAACAACAAATCTGTCACCAAAGACAGGATTAAAACCAACTCCGAAAATGTTGCATAAATCAAACGTACTTCAGACAATGAACAATATAACATTCCTAATGAACCAACAAACGTCACAAACCTTTATAAAATCGTTATATTGGTAATAACATCTGTGCAATGAATTCTCATTTTCAATTCCAAAAATTCAAGTCACTTTAGATTCACTTAATTGAAACTGTGATGTAATTACAAACCCGTAGATTTACAGCAGCACGGTCGGCTCCTTTAAATAACGCACTATACTAAAAAAATTTACAAAAATGTGGCAAGAAGCATTCCTGACTTACAATGATCTTCCCAAATTGCTCAAAGTTTTTCCGTAGTTCTGAAGCCGTAACATCTTTTTCCAGGTTGCCAATGAACAGAGTCCGTGTTGCCTTTGGATGAAATTCGTCCAACTCCGCTTCGTAAGGCCTGACATCATCATGCGAACAAAACACACACACAGAGATGAGGTTTTGCTTTCAATATACATAAAAAAAGAACAATTACAAATTTCAAAGAAAGATTAATAAATCTCTAAATTTACTATAGAAGAAACTGAAAAGTAGATGTTCAAGAAATAACCCCTGAAACAATCGTACTTACACAGCGAAACCTCTATCCATCGTTCCCCAAACTATCGTTTTCCCGGACACATCGTCTGTTTTGTTCAGTCCCTGATACGTCCCATATAAAATAACGTTACATTTTCTCGCTTTTCTCATTTTGAACGTGGAAAGGGCTCCGTTTCGCCTAAAACGTAAAGTTATCCATTAAAGACTTTTTTGGTAAAAAGAAGTAACTTTGAAACATGTTGTATTTGTATTGTTTTGCGTATGCAAAGGAGAAGAATGAACTGTTTCAATTTTTTCTCATTTTTAATGCTTTCTCGCAACTGTCGTTTTCCCATATTTATCATTTTCATTTCTCTCCCCCGTCAAAAACGATGCATCGAAGTTTCACCATACGTACGTGTACACACACAGAGCAACCAGTCTACAGAAATAACACGCTCTGGACGACCTTAAAATGAGGAGAATATGGTTTTTGCAACACACTTAATACACTAACAGACTTAATACCAGGGAGGATGGATGATGACGGTGATAATATATTTTTCAACTTTCGAAAGACCTGCGAAAGTGAAAGGTGATATCAGTGTGTATTTAGTGTGCAAAAGAATATCACAAACATGTAAACTATATCAGGTACTTTGCTACCTGAACTCATTGTCCTCCACGTCATAGCCTTGGCAGGGTGCCACCTCAATCTTGCAACCGAAGAAGAGCTTGTTGTGGGACTCTTCCAATGCCTTCTCGACATCATCTGCCTTCTTGAAGCAAACCAACGCATAACGATCGCCTGCCTGCCCCACCACCTTAACACATGTTACCTTCCCATGCTTTTTGTATTCGTGGAACAACCCATCCTTCAGACTCGTGTCTGAAACAAGAAAAGCCTCGTGAGCAAACAGTTTTACAATACACAGGAGGAAATGATAGATGCATATTATTAATTTCAACTACCACCTGATTCTGACCACCGTTCTTTCTATTAGGGGTCTGCAGTGGCCGCGCGGTCCGAGGCGTGGGCCTTGTGCCGCTTGGTCACTGGGACCGTGGGTTCGAATCCCACTCAAGCCATGGATGTTTGTCTGCATTTTACTGTGTCGTGCTGTCCCGTGTAAAGGTAGAGGCCTTGCAACGGGCCGATCCCTCGTCCGAGGAGTCCTACCAAAATGTCTATAGGTCAAGCCAACGAAAAGCTGGGACCCGCAGTGCTCAGGCACTTGAAGAACAGGTCGTTCCCAGTATCCAGTACCCAGTTCTTTCTATTAGTCCATTCCTGGACATGGGTACCGGGTTCTGAATCGACTGCATCTATATATACACACAATGAACTGCATCATCCACTACAACAATCTGAGATGACGGAGACAGAAAGCGTTTACAAAACACTGCATACTCATTCAATACTGATACAGCCATCATCTATAAGGACTTGTTTGAAGACACGCTTCACAACATTACATATCGTGTAAACAAAGACTTAATATATAATTTAAAAGAAATATACATACACAATCACCAGTCCTGAAAGAGATATTATAAATTCCCGCAATGCAGGATACACAAAGCATATAATAAAATACTAAACTGATCTTAAAAGATTTGCTTCAGAATTCAGGATTAGGTCAATGTATTCCGGATTTATATTAAGACGTGCACAGCAAAGATAATATATCTTAAAAAATTTACTATCTCGCGATGGGCCGATCCCTCGTCCAAGGAGTCCTACCAAATGTCCATAGATCAAGCCAACGGAAAGTTGGGACCCGTAAAATGGTATGGGAAAATGTATAAACAATCTTAAACCAGAAATAGAAGAAGAAAAAATGTATTATTTGTCCAGTTACAACTGAACTAACTCAAGAAAATCAGTGATGACTACAAAAAATCTGTATGAAGCACATCACAACCCTGAATTGAAACATATTTATAAGCGGTTTATAGATTAATTTACACTGCACGTGTCCTGACTTTCTCACAGGTCACAAATCAATCTTTTCCATTTTTTAATAAACCATTAAAAGACACCTTTGTCTCTCCTTGCGGCATAATGAAATTTACTTGACTTGTTCACAATGAACACGCTGGCTTAATGTCCTTACCGCTGGAGCGAACGGGCAGGTTTCGGACACAGATTGCCAAAGGTCTTCGATCTTCACTCTGCACGGCTGGACTCACGTTATTGGCATGTGGCGCACTCACCGCTGACTGCAGAGCCACCCCACACACGCGTCCACTCCTAGCTGCCCCATGGTGGCTACTGCTGTGAAATACGAAAGTTCGATTTCTTATTTAACCCTCTAAAACTGAAGCAAACATCGACCAGACTACACAGCGCAACAACCCAGAAGACAGAAATCTTCAGAATGAGAATTGTGTTTTGAGTTTGCATGAAACTAAAAGGATTCTGAACACTAGCTTTAAATGCATATATGTATATCAGCATTTTGTTTGGACAAATACCTCAACCTCTTAACTGTCAATTTAAGCCCAAAAACCACTTTCCTTTTTAAACAAATCCACATTTATTTTCTAAAGTAACAAAAACATGCCAACACATACAACAAAAACATAAATCAGAGATGTTCTGAGAAGACACCATACTAACATAAATTAATGCATACGCAAGTTTTAGATTTAGGTATAATTCATAACAAACCCATATGTTAACTTAAATCCGTGGCCTAACAGCCCTTTGAGAGCCAAAGCTGGCTGCTGGCCTCACGTTCACATGCCTAAGCAGAGGTGAACGATCATCCAACCAGATATAGGGCGACGTGTGGTCAGCACGACAAACCCCCAGCCATTGCTAGCTTTCCTGACCGGATTACGCTACATATCGTAGCTCCCCAATTTCCTCACGATGCTGGGTTGGCACCGGTCCCATACACTGGTCAAAAATCTCATAAGAAATTTCTTTCCCCGAGACTCGAACCAGCGCACACTCTGAAGCGTGATGCCTCAGACCCCGCGGCTACGGCGAGGGACTTTATCACCAATGCCATCATAAAACTTAAACCTGCTGGTGTTTAAATTAACACATGTGACAAATTTTTTTACAGCTGTACAAAGGACTTCATCTAGTAACCAAAATAATGAATACTGCGCCTTAAAGCATGTTCAACACCAATATCAAAGAATCGCCTGGCTACGTTCATCAAAGAGCTTATCTATCTCGTACGCCTTCACAACACTGGAATTTTTCTAAGCAGAATGTGGACAATACCTGTGCGGGGAGCAGGACTTGTCAGTTCCTTGTGACGATGTACCTGAGCTGCAACTGCTGGAACCTGACTGGCTAGAACTGGAGCTGGAATGCGAATGGCTACGAGATCTGGACCGAGAGCGGCTTGACCCTGAGTTGGACCCTGACTCGCTCCCCGACCTACTAAACATGACATCAAATGGCAAAGTCAGATACTGTCATGCATTTTCAACAACAACAACAACAACAACAAACAGTATCAAACTCATGCCGCTGTCGATTGGGCGACACAAGTATAGTTGCATGATCAAATGAAGATGGTAAAGATGAATTTGATTTTGTTTCTCAATGAACATGTCACCCAGGCATGGAAGCCGAAGATAACATGTCAGAAACCAGTAGAACAGCACGTGTTTACCCCTGACAGGATGAACTTGTTTTTGATGAGTAACATCTCAACCCATTAAACTAACGTCTTCTAAACTGAGTGCCACATTTGCTCACTGCAAAACTGCAAACATGGAATCCTGCCAAAATTTGAGAGGGGTTTATCTGGACCTTGGCTCCATTAGCAGGTTCACTCTGCTATTGTACTCAAAAAGAACAAAGTCCCATACCCAATGAGTCATATTATATAAATTAACCCAATTATTCTTATTTTATTATATACGTGCCATCTGGACCAAGCAATTTTTTTTAAATGTGACAATATGGTCCACGGTTGAATTTAAAGTGTGATTATCTCTTAATAAAAAAGTAATGTTGGCATTATTTTCACCTGTGAGACAGAATCAAAATATACTTTGAAAAGAAAAATTCTGTTAATGATCAGTACCTCCAAAAGTGACATCAGAGGTTTTCATGGCGACGGGCATCACTATATTAAAAAATTTGCTCTGCTGCTGATCTTAAAGCACAAATGAAACCGAATGAACCTCGACGGAGGAACATAACAGCGTATATTTTTTTCTGAATGGCTCGTTTTCCTTCGAGGGGTCAGTAATCAAACGAGTTAAAATGTCCGGTTCCCTGACTGCCAAGTAGCATGGAACATCTTAACATCGATTACAACAACTCGTGGACACCCATATATATATCTCATTTTTAATGCTTTCTCGCAACTGTCGTTTTCCCATATTTATCATTTTCATTTCTCTCCCCCGTCAAAAACGATGCATCGAAGTTTCACCATACGTACGTGTACACACACAGAGCAACCAGTCTACAGAAATAACACGCTCTGGACGACCTTAAAATGAGGAGAATATGGTTTTTGCAACACACTTAATACACTAACAGACTTAATACCAGGGAGGATGGATGATGACGGTGATAATATATTTTTCAACTTTCGAAAGACCTGCGAAAGTGAAAGGTGATATCAGTGTGTATTTAGTGTGCAAAAGAATATCACAAACATGTAAACTATATCAGGTACTTTGCTACCTGAACTCATTGTCCTCCACGTCATAGCCTTGGCAGGGTGCCACCTCAATCTTGCAACCGAAGAAGAGCTTGTTGTGGGACTCTTCCAATGCCTTCTCGACATCATCTGCCTTCTTGAAGCAAACCAACGCATAACGATCGCCTGCCTGCCCCACCACCTTAACACATGTTACCTTCCCATGCTTTTTGTATTCGTGGAACAACCCATCCTTCAGACTCGTGTCTGAAACAAGAAAAGCCTCGTGAGCAAACAGTTTTACAATACACAGGAGGAAATGATAGATGCATATTATTAATTTCAACTACCACCTGATTCTGACCACCGTTCTTTCTATTAGGGGTCTGCAGTGGCCGCGCGGTCCGAGGCGTGGGCCTTGTGCCGCTTGGTCACTGGGACCGTGGGTTCGAATCCCACTCAAGCCATGGATGTTTGTCTGCATTTTACTGTGTCGTGCTGTCCCGTGTAAAGGTAGAGGCCTTGCAACGGGCCGATCCCTCGTCCGAGGAGTCCTACCAAAATGTCTATAGGTCAAGCCAACGAAAAGCTGGGACCCGCAGTGCTCAGGCACTTGAAGAACAGGTCGTTCCCAGTATCCAGTACCCAGTTCTTTCTATTAGTCCATTCCTGGACATGGGTACCGGGTTCTGAATCGACTGCATCTATATATACACACAATGAACTGCATCATCCACTACAACAATCTGAGATGACGGAGACAGAAAGCGTTTACAAAACACTGCATACTCATTCAATACTGATACAGCCATCATCTATAAGGACTTGTTTGAAGACACGCTTCACAACATTACATATCGTGTAAACAAAGACTTAATATATAATTTAAAAGAAATATACATACACAATCACCAGTCCTGAAAGAGATATTATAAATTCCCGCAATGCAGGATACACAAAGCATATAATAAAATACTAAACTGATCTTAAAAGATTTGCTTCAGAATTCAGGATTAGGTCAATGTATTCCGGATTTATATTAAGACGTGCACAGCAAAGATAATATATCTTAAAAAATTTACTATCTCGCGATGGGCCGATCCCTCGTCCAAGGAGTCCTACCAAATGTCCATAGATCAAGCCAACGGAAAGTTGGGACCCGTAAAATGGTATGGGAAAATGTATAAACAATCTTAAACCAGAAATAGAAGAAGAAAAAATGTATTATTTGTCCAGTTACAACTGAACTAACTCAAGAAAATCAGTGATGACTACAAAAAATCTGTATGAAGCACATCACAACCCTGAATTGAAACATATTTATAAGCGGTTTATAGATTAATTTACACTGCACGTGTCCTGACTTTCTCACAGGTCACAAATCAATCTTTTCCATTTTTTAATAAACCATTAAAAGACACCTTTGTCTCTCCTTGCGGCATAATGAAATTTACTTGACTTGTTCACAATGAACACGCTGGCTTAATGTCCTTACCGCTGGAGCGAACGGGCAGGTTTCGGACACAGATTGCCAAAGGTCTTCGATCTTCACTCTGCACGGCTGGACTCACGTTATTGGCATGTGGCGCACTCACCGCTGACTGCAGAGCCACCCCACACACGCGTCCACTCCTAGCTGCCCCATGGTGGCTACTGCTGTGAAATACGAAAGTTCGATTTCTTATTTAACCCTCTAAAACTGAAGCAAACATCGACCAGACTACACAGCGCAACAACCCAGAAGACAGAAATCTTCAGAATGAGAATTGTGTTTTGAGTTTGCATGAAACTAAAAGGATTCTGAACACTAGCTTTAAATGCATATATGTATATCAGCATTTTGTTTGGACAAATACCTCAACCTCTTAACTGTCAATTTAAGCCCAAAAACCACTTTCCTTTTTAAACAAATCCACATTTATTTTCTAAAGTAACAAAAACATGCCAACACATACAACAAAAACATAAATCAGAGATGTTCTGAGAAGACACCATACTAACATAAATTAATGCATACGCAAGTTTTAGATTTAGGTATAATTCATAACAAACCCATATGTTAACTTAAATCCGTGGCCTAACAGCCCTTTGAGAGCCAAAGCTGGCTGCTGGCCTCACGTTCACATGCCTAAGCAGAGGTGAACGATCATCCAACCAGATATAGGGCGACGTGTGGTCAGCACGACAAACCCCCAGCCATTGCTAGCTTTCCTGACCGGATTACGCTACATATCGTAGCTCCCCAATTTCCTCACGATGCTGGGTTGGCACCGGTCCCATACACTGGTCAAAAATCTCATAAGAAATTTCTTTCCCCGAGACTCGAACCAGCGCACACTCTGAAGCGTGATGCCTCAGACCCCGCGGCTACGGCGAGGGACTTTATCACCAATGCCATCATAAAACTTAAACCTGCTGGTGTTTAAATTAACACATGTGACAAATTTTTTTACAGCTGTACAAAGGACTTCATCTAGTAACCAAAATAATGAATACTGCGCCTTAAAGCATGTTCAACACCAATATCAAAGAATCGCCTGGCTACGTTCATCAAAGAGCTTATCTATCTCGTACGCCTTCACAACACTGGAATTTTTCTAAGCAGAATGTGGACAATACCTGTGCGGGGAGCAGGACTTGTCAGTTCCTTGTGACGATGTACCTGAGCTGCAACTGCTGGAACCTGACTGGCTAGAACTGGAGCTGGAATGCGAATGGCTACGAGATCTGGACCGAGAGCGGCTTGACCCTGAGTTGGACCCTGACTCGCTCCCCGACCTACTAAACATGACATCAAATGGCAAAGTCAGATACTGTCATGCATTTTCAACAACAACAACAACAACAACAAACAGTATCAAACTCATGCCGCTGTCGATTGGGCGACACAAGTATAGTTGCATGATCAAATGAAGATGGTAAAGATGAATTTGATTTTGTTTCTCAATGAACATGTCACCCAGGCATGGAAGCCGAAGATAACATGTCAGAAACCAGTAGAACAGCACGTGTTTACCCCTGACAGGATGAACTTGTTTTTGATGAGTAACATCTCAACCCATTAAACTAACGTCTTCTAAACTGAGTGCCACATTTGCTCACTGCAAAACTGCAAACATGGAATCCTGCCAAAATTTGAGAGGGGTTTATCTGGACCTTGGCTCCATTAGCAGGTTCACTCTGCTATTGTACTCAAAAAGAACAAAGTCCCATACCCAATGAGTCATATTATATAAATTAACCCAATTATTCTTATTTTATTATATACGTGCCATCTGGACCAAGCAATTTTTTTTAAATGTGACAATATGGTCCACGGTTGAATTTAAAGTGTGATTATCTCTTAATAAAAAAGTAATGTTGGCATTATTTTCACCTGTGAGACAGAATCAAAATATACTTTGAAAAGAAAAATTCTGTTAATGATCAGTACCTCCAAAAGTGACATCAGAGGTTTTCATGGCGACGGGCATCACTATATTAAAAAATTTGCTCTGCTGCTGATCTTAAAGCACAAATGAAACCGAATGAACCTCGACGGAGGAACATAACAGCGTATATTTTTTTCTGAATGGCTCGTTTTCCTTCGAGGGGTCAGTAATCAAACGAGTTAAAATGTCCGGTTCCCTGACTGCCAAGTAGCATGGAACATCTTAACATCGATTACAACAACTCGTGGACACCCATATATATATTTTTTTTTATTTTTTTTTTAACAGTCCCAAGAAGCAAACTCCAGTCTTGACAGTCCCCAAAGCCTGACTTCCGATAGTTGCAAAAGCCAAACTTCAAATTTAAGTCATAAGAGCCGGACTTCTTTATGATCATACAAACCAAACTTCAAACTTAACAGTAAAAAGCCAGACTTCTCCCATGACACGAAAAACTGTCTGCAACAGACAATTCTTCCTGGGAAGTCATATTCCGTTTCAGTCAGGTTGAATTTTGTTTACCGACAGAACGGAATTCTTACCTGGATTTCGGGCGCTTCTTGTGTATCGCGGGTTGCGTTTCACGCCGCTCCTCCGAATAGGGGTCAGGGGTGGGGGTAGTGGCGGTATAACGGCCGCTCGTTGTGCCGTCGTAGCTCCACGCGTTCCCCAGGGGCCGGTGATGTGCCGACTGGGTTCTGCGGCACCCAAAAACACACACATTTCATTGCAGCATGGCATCCAAAATCACAGACAGAAAGCAACACGAAACAAACAATCCACACATAACCTCAAAGTGTACAGTGTTACTCCAGAGATCCACAGATAGAATTCCCCTTCCTTTCCTGCAGTCGAATTGGGTTTTGGCGCCGTGTTGACTGGTTGGTAGATGCCAACGTTTAGGAGAAACGCCACATTCTCAACGCCGTGAAAACCTCAAACCTCACGTTAACTGATTATTCGTAATGAAGGCACGGTAATTCCTACTTCGTTACAAGGCACTCAAACGCCATTATAAAACTGATCGTTCTATAATCATTAAAGTGTTGACATCTGTTCGTCAAAGAATTTGGGAATACAAATCATAAATCATATACAATCACATGTAAAAGTAATTAGTTTTAATGTATATTTTTGAGCAACCTGGGTTCAATTCCAGATAAGTACGATATGTCATCGAGTGAAAGGTGACGAAATAGTTTAGTGTTTGTTTGTTTCTTAAAACTTCCATAAATGTCTTTAAAGAAAGACAAGTCCTCCGTATAAACATTGCCAAGGTAATACTGTTACAAACTGCAGTTTAGTTTAAGTTAAATGTGTTTGAAGTGCTGACAGTCGCGAATAACCAATACAGCTGATTCGACTTCCAATAACTAAGAAATCAACGCAACTCCTAGTAACTTCTAAATCTGTTGGTTAATTTCCATGGGAACCTGGTAAAAGTCATAACATCGGGCACCCCAAATCGTATTATTTTAAAACTCCCTGTCATCAATAACGTCAACATGGAGGTTGTGCGAACTTTCGGAGCAGAAGAAACATCAACGCTATTCAATGTAAGTTAAGGGCAGTAAATTTTGTTACAACGAACCATCGGAATAAAGAAAATATTCAGATGGAAGTATTTAAAATATTACATTTCGAGTTGAGTGTAAAAAAAACATCAAAAGAATTCCATTAACATAATTTATTTTTTCTAATTCTACTGAGACCTCACTGGTTTTCGACACGTTTCCAAAAAACCATTTCGTATATTATCTCGCTTTACAATGCATTTCCTCATTTCCAAAATATTTTACATCTTTGAAATAACGTTAACACACATCAATCCATAAATGGCATAGGAACAAAGAGAGAATAAATATACAACATCCATTCACAAAACCGTTACAAATTAAAAGCGGTGGGGGGAACTGTCGCTCGTAACTGACAAAATATCCGTTACAGCCTGTACCAAACACCGGACACGGCTACTGAAAACCGCACTTCCGGTCAAAGCGAAACCGGTCGACAGCCAATCTCATGCGTTTTCATTTTTGGACGGACAGACACACACACACATTAGCTTTCTGTGTAATTGGTGAACTGCGTTTGGGCGTAATGAAAGAAAACACTTTCGCCGTGCTGTACCAGGGAAACAAGGCCGCGGCTAGCAAGGGAAGGGGTGCGTTCCCCACGACCAAGCTAGAATACTACGCTCAGAAATCAATAGCAGTGACACAACGTTGCCATGTTTACCACCACCAAAACGGGATTCCAGGATCTAATATTAATCGACTAAGCAGTCAGAACACCTCACGGGCCACGTGACTTCGAACTCTCCCCTGCGAATACGACTCATAAACAAATATTGCCGTGTTCTCCATTTCCTCAATAAATTAATTACTTCAGAAAAGTTATTTAATACTATTCTTCTAAACACCACACATACTATCAAAACACTTTAACGTCTAAATACAGATTCCTACGTAGATATGCCTTGTGTCGTTTTACACCTGACATCTTTCAGAACAGTAACTGTAGCCTGAAACTCTTGAAACTCATTTATTACTCGTTCCTAAGTTGATAACAGTGTTTTTAATCTTTATGTACATTCCAATCCATATCGCGATACAATAACAAACGAAAATAAACTATTTTAAACATGATGGGAAGTGTCAATTTAAACTCAAAATGTAAATTGTATGCAGTTTACAATGAACTGGTTGTACGCCATTTTATTGAGGCCCTGCGTCATTCAGAAACGTACTTCAATCACAAATTAAACGAGAAGCACGACGAAGAAACATGAATAACATTAACAACACATATTACATATGCACACGACTGACACACAGAATGTCGCGAAACGGAAAATGCACTTGGACCCAAAGACGCAGTCGTCGGCTTCAAAACACTTGCACCTCTAGTACCAGACTGTACTTTTAACCCCGTCTCTGGAGACGAAGGACCAAAACCCAGAACATTTTCGTGGCAAAGTACAGACTGAATAACAAACACAACTTTGCATTCTCTCTCGCATACGTTCCACAGCATTACCTATGGGCAGATGTACACTAAGAAGGATCTGAGGTTTCCACGGCGGTGAGCCCAAGGACAGCCATCTTAAAATGTATAAACAGAGATGACCAAGTCGTGGAGTTTATTTCACCGCGTTTTGTCAACACCAACGACGATACGAAGTCCGACTGTTAATAATGAACAGCAAAGAAAGTGGAACGGAACTTCTGTGGTTCGAGGCGGAGTCCCAGCATTTAGACTATTCTGTAAAATCGTTATCGTTTTCAGGATTAACGTGCACTTTGGTACCTATGAATATTTTCGTCTCTGTTTACATGCGTCATGACGGTTCATGGCTTGAGAAATATCGACCCATTCAATAAAAGGACAACCGCGGAAGGCACACGATGTAAACCAACGTCGAACAAGTGAATACATTCCGGTAGTACTCGATAAGAATGCCACAAGAAATCCAACCCTTAAAACGCTACACCTGGAATTTTGTCGGCCTCCCCATGCAGCAGGTGGAAGCATTTAAAGGAGAAATCCCATCGCATTCCGCGAAACTCGACCAATTTCCCACGCAAAACGCATTTCGTTTAACTTACGTGTCGGCATACCAAGATAACGATTTTTAATAACCTGAAAATTTAATCTCCTACTGCTCTACCATCAGGACGACGAACTTGTCGCCATGATGGCGGCAGAATGTTCCTCTGGAACGTCGGTCAATATCTACCAGACTACACGGTGCAACATCCCAGAAGGCAGCGAGAACCTGAAAAGTATAATTCTTAAACAGGAAGTTTGTTAAGATATTTTGAAACGTGACTGAAGACGAAATGTCGCAAATTATATTCGGCTGTTGCACCTTTTCCTGTCCCCCAAAACGTGAACCGTGTTCAACCATCCACGACAGCTGGCTGCAAAACCCGCGATCCAAAGGAAAGCAACTTCTTCAAGAAGCGTCTCTGTCGTCTATCGACTAAAGCCACTGTACTCACCTCTCTATGAGCGGCGTGTAGGGTCCGTTCCTGTACACACGGTCCCTCGTGCGGCCTCTCAGAGGATCTGTTACGTGATAAGCCGACGCCGGGCGCCGAAGGTACGCGT